GATTATTGCACAGCTGTGCCTTAGGCTGGCCACAATAAAAGGCCACTCTGAAACGTGCATTTTTGCTTTATTGGGGGGGTCTGGGGGGTCTAATCAGCATCTTGATATGCCACACCTGTGAGGTGGGATGGATTATCTAGGCAAAGGAGAAGTGCTCACTATCACAGATTTTTTCAGATTTGTGAACAATATTTGAGAGAAATGGTTATTTTGTGTATATAGAAAATGTTTTAGATCTTTGAGTTCATCTCATGAAAAATGGGAGCAAAAACAAAAGTGTTGCATTTATATTTTTGTTCAGTGTATATTTCAACAGTTTTTCGACAAACTATGACTTTTTTGACATGGAAATAATTTTTTAAGATTGACAAACATCATGTGTGTAATTCATGACACAATTCAAACGGGATCGAAAGATACGTTTTCTCTCCCCATTGACTTCAAAACATAATTTTTCCGAAATAAGGTCCCATGGGGCGGAAGTAGATGGGTGGGACTTCGCCTCTCTATACACAATGACTGAACAAAACTGAATCATTTTTGCTTTTGCTTGTACATTACACTTAATGTCTTAAATAGTTAGATTTATATGATCTGGTAGGCAGATTTTAGTATTGAATACTTATTTGAAAGTGCTGACATATTCAATTTCCACAGTTTGATATTTAAGTCGGCACCAAGTAAACTTTATAGACATTTGAGATATTGTACACAACTATTTATTTGTTGGGCAAACATTGATCCTTTTGGACTGGGGTGTTTTATTAAACTGAATCGATGATAACTGTAAAATAAACCTTAAATCATGGTAATAATATGCATACATTATGATAATATAATGTAAAATAATCTAGCGCTAACTTCTTTTAAATATCTTTAAATTAATATATACCCTTCAATATATCGCTTTCCCCCAACTCCCAAACAAATTAGTGTTTTTAACATAATTATAATTTTCTACAAGTATCATGATAACCACCTGCTGCGATGACCGTGTATCGTGACAGCGCTACATCGATGGACAGAACTAGGCTTACAGTTTTAAATGATTTTCTAAGCTAAATGGCTGCAGATACAGACTGAATGTACATACATTAGATTGGTGTAATACTCCTCTTAGCAAAAAGGCAAAAGTTTAACCCTTGCAAACTAAAATGTTCAGTTACTAAAAGTCATTTCATCAATTTTATTTCTAAGGAATAATAATGAATCACCCAACAACATACTTTTTCAGTCTCTCCTCAGTTTGCTGCCTTTCATTCTCCAGGTCCATGGTGGTTTCTTGGGACAGCTTCAGATCCCCCTCCAGTTTTCTCCTGAATCTCTCCAAGTCTGCACTCACCTTCTTCTCCTGCTCCAGCGAGCCCTCCAGCTGCAGGAGACAAGGAAGCAAACTTCTCCAAACAAACGACCTTGATGATCTAATTAAAACATGGATGTTGTGGTCTGTACTCACGTCATCAACCTGTTGCTCCAGCTTGATTTTGTTCTTCATCAGAGTGTTCACTTTGTCCTCCTCGGCCTGGAGGTCGTCTAATGTCTGCTGGTGCACCTCCTGCAGAGCTTTGACCGCCTTTGTAGACTCCAGCTGTTTTTCCTCAAGACTACTGAGCTCCTCTACCAAGTTTTTTACCTGAGAAGAGAAGCACTTTTCGGTTAGTTGTTGTAAACCTCTACATCTCAGAGGTAAATATTGTAGATTCGAGTCATCCACATCTCCACCAAAAGCTCTTTAAAGAGGCATGGAATCATCAGAGGAACCTTATTTTCCGTGGCATATTTCTCCTTCTCCACTTTAGCGATGGTGAGCTCCAGGTCATCAATGTCTCTCTTGAGCTCAGTGCATTCGTCCTCCAGCTTCCTCCTCTTCACAGTGATTTCTGCGTTGATGTCCTCCTCTTCCTCCATCCTCTCGGAGAACTCTTTGACTTTGGCCTCCAGGTGGATCTTGCTCTTTATCAAACCTTCGCACCGCTCCTCGGCATCGCACAGGTTCTCCCTTTCCTGAGGAGCATATTATTAAGTGCAGTAAAAGTGAAACTGTTGAAGTTAGGATGACGGTTATTCTTCTTGCCAGTACAGCCTCCTTTTTAGTTCATTATAAATAGTTCCTCATTGTGTTTGCTATTAAACAAATATTTTTCCTAATAAAAATATTTGTTTTATTTAAATAGTAAAATGTTAGTTGTGTACCTACCAATTGCCATATTTATCTAGACCTATTTGATCAAATTTGTTTCATTTTTAAATATTTTTATTTGAATATTGTGTATATGTTTTATATTTGGCATTCTTTTTTTAATCTATTTTTAAACGCTTCGTGTGTCCCAATAATTGTTAGTATTCATATTTTCCTGTGCCATAAACAGAAATACAGTTATTTTACCACCATCTGACAAACAGATCCAGCCACATCTTGTTTCTACACGGACCACTATTGCGGTAAGCATGTTGTAACTTCCGGTTGTTGTTGTCATCTCCGGGTATCCCGTGTGCCTGTTCTGTTGCTGATAGCTTATTATCTTAACTTAATCGATCGTTTTAAAACTCTTGATCACGGCAACTGCCTGACGTTGTAATCACACGTTACTACAGCTTAAGCACTCACAAACTCTCCTTCTCTTAGCGACTGTAACTCCACAGTTGCCTACACTCTTTTCGGGTTTGCTAACGGTAGCTACTTTAGCTTGATAGCTAGCCATGGCTCTTTCCCCACCCTCGGGTGCTATTTCCTGCTCTAACTGTCTCATGTTTGGTTACTTCCCTACCTCC